ACATGTACACTATCGGATCGAAACTAACGCGATGGAAAATTTGCAAGTACATAATACCTACATACCTTTGCCTCTTTATTGCCGATGTTTCGACATGGATTATAATCATTATTATTATATATCTATATTATTATACGTCGCGACCACGTAGTGGTGCAATGTTAATAATGGACATTAAGTCCCGATAGTGTATTGTTTAAATGGATGATAATGAAATGGTAACCCCCCTGTGCCAACGGTATACGCTGGCGGGGTAACAGTGAGGGATGACAGGTGAGAATGAAACGGCAAATCAGTCAGCCCATCGTAATGAATACACCTGGAATTCAGTACGATGGTTTCCAGAGGGAACCATGTGGAGGTCGACCAGACAGGGTATATTGCTAGCAATGAGACTGGTAGTCCGCATGACTAACAATCCTCCCCCCCCCCCCATAGTGTATTTAAATTGTGGTGATTTTGTTGCCCCAAAGGGGAAACTTAAATTACGAGAAAAATTACAATTATTACAAATATTATAAATAGAAAAATAAGTTTTTTTTAACACTACATGTGACCACATCATCCTGAGCGAGCATAGAGATGGCATGGTCCACGAATACGACCAACTGAAAAGAGAACGTTCCACTCTCAACAGTTGGCCGGACCATGCCGGCTTACTAAGTGCTTTTTCACACTACGTTTGACGAATCCGAGGTTATAGGACGAAGGAAATATGTTACGGGATAACGGAACGTTACTTTCGTTCAACATCATTGTAAGAGAAAAAAAACTTAAAATAAATACTATAAGAATTCCTATAAATAGTAGTAACAATAGTAACAATTTATATATTCTTTTGAAAAGACTCAATCCCAACAGTGGGATGTTAATATGTTTATTTATTTGTTATGTTTTGATGGTTACCCCACCGATCGTCTTGAAATTTGATATAAATGCTATTTGGGATAGAGAAAGGCATAATCATTTCAGCCCTTACTTGTCCACTGCTGAACATAAGCCGTCCCATAAGGAGAATTTTGCCAGTATTTGCCACGCTTAGCAGGCGGGTTGGCAACCGCAGTTAAGGATTTAGAGATATTTTAAGAGGGGCGCTACTACCCATCCCTCTACTTTTAAGTTCCTTTAGTCACCTCTTACGACGCCCACAGAAAAGAAACGGGTGGTCTATTCTATGCCGGGACCACACGGTCACGAGAGAAGGACATAGGCCACTCTTAATCTTAGTCAATATATATATATATTCCGATCACGCGGACAAAATCGCGATGTAAAGCCAATTTGTTGTTTCCCCAAACCGCAAACATTTCACAGGAAAACAACATAATCCATAGCTGTCACAACTACATAAACAAATGCTTACTATGTACTATTTTAGTAGTAGTTACTATTTTATTTACTGTCGTATTAACGATTTTACTTAGAATTACGCAATTTCGAATTCATGCGCCACTTTAACCTAAATAAAACCATTTAATCAAATTTACGTAAATACCAGAATTAAAAAATAAATTTGACATATACCTATACCTCACTATGGATGAAGTTTACATTGTTTATTGTAAAATATATTTATTATGGTTATTCTATTACTTGTAATATTGAATTTAATTTAATGCTTTTTTCTATAATTATACTTAATTTCAGACACAAATGTACATTACATTGTTTTTTGAATAAATGACTAATGTCTATATTAGCTGAACCCAGGTCAGAAATTTTTGAACATTTCTATAAATTATTGATGCCCATTAATTCCTCTCTTTCCGTGATTAGGGAAAGTAGATAAAACTTTATATGAGAAATCAGTTCAGGGTACGATAGGGCTTATATAGTATACCTGAAGAAGGTTTATTTATATCATAAAGGTAACAAACAAGCATACATCTGAAGGTAAAAGCCATTAAAATAAAAATTACGCAATTTATATTGCTGGTGTTAGAACAATTTAATGAAAATGGCAACATCTGCATTACACTCGTATATTACTAACTTTTTGTACGCGTAGATTTCAGAAGTAGAAAAACCAATGAAATGACTATTTCTAGATGGATCAAGAAAAAATATACACCATATTTTAAGTTCGCCGTGGGGTACCGACATAGAATAGGGGTAGGCCGCCCCTTTCTTTCCCGTGCTTGTCGTAAGAGGCGACTAAGGAAATTTAAAGGTCGAGGGATGTGCAGCAGCGTCCCTTTTTACATCGTCAAACCCTAACTGTAATTGCCATTCCACTTGCCAAACATGGCAATTACTGGCAAAGCAACCTCTTACCCACCACTAACCACTTAATGGCTCCTCTCATCTCTAACCAATTAATGGCTGATATACTAATATTTTTAGTTAGAGTTTCAGGAACACAGCTGTGAAAACTGCTTCTAATTTAGTGCAATAGTTTTTTGCGTGATGTCGGAACGAACATACAGACAGGTAGACAAAATTTCTAAAAAATATTGTTTTACCGTATATTGACTACTAAGACTCCTCATATTATTTTTTCTTAAATATCATCCTTGTACAGACATCGTACAGTTACAATTTTATTCTATTAATAGCATTTTAAAAGTTCGTAATGACGTTTTGATCTTTGTTGGAATTACGCTTAAATAATAAATTTGAATAAAATGTAGTATGCAAATAAACCCTAACCTAAACTAAGAAATTCGCCCATTCACGAGAACAAAATCTTTAAATCTTAGATTATATACAATGGATAGAGCCTCGAGCCTCAAAAACGGGTCAACTTTTAGTCCGCTAATTGTCAAATTAGATGACTCGTTTTTTTTTATCAATGTTCTATTATTCATAAAATGTATCTTGACGTATTGTTTAATAAATAAAATGAGTGTTTACACATTAAAATGATTTAGAATTTATAAGACAAAATGAATATAAAAGTTATAAAGGAATCATAACTATTTATCACGCAAAATTGTATGAAAAAGTTGATCCGTTTTTCCTAAGCATTTCTAAGGGGATACTCTATCTATATAATTGAAGCTTTAAATAGACCTAGCTAGTTTTCAATAAGAATAATTATTTAGTAAATTTAACATTAAGTTTCATAAAAAAATTTAACTCAATTATAGCAAAACCAGTTGTTTTGGTTTAGAAACTAAACCACTAAACCGATTTTGATAATATTTTATGGTACTAATCCGATAATATATCGTTTTAGATAAAAATAGGATTTTTCTAATCGGTAAACTGACGGAGTAATGTGGTAACAAACATAAAAAAATACAACCAAATTGAAAACTTCCTCCTTTTTTGTAGTCGGTTGAAAACTAACTTTCCCTAAAGCGTTATAACAGAAATAGAAATCGGTAAAACCGGGACTACATTTTTACTAAGAAATAATTAAGCCACCTCACTTGCTTAGTTCTAAAAATATGTACCCACAAACTTAGTACGTGGGTACGTAAAAGCTTGTAAATAACTATAACCGATTGTAGATTATATTATGCCAGCTCTTCCCACGACTATTACATGTATAGTAAAGCAAGTTGATCACAGGACTCCTACTCAAATACCTACATACCTATATACTTTCTCCTATCTACCAAGGTCGGGGGAAAGAGATTGTTAGTAATACGAACTACCAGTCCCATTGCTACCAATATACCCTATATTGCTAGCAATGGGATGGTGTCAGGTCGACTTCCACGTGGTCCCCCCTGGAAATCATCGTGCTGAATCACGATGAAAGAACTGACCAGCTTTTTTTCCAAGGTCAGGGGGAAGAGATTGTTAGTAATGAGGTCTAGGGTCTCAATTACTGCCAATATATCCATCAGTTCTACCACCACATGATTGTCCCTAGAAATCATTGTGGTTGATTCTTAAAGAATTTGTCACGATGAACCGACGTATCTGCTTTTGTCATCCCTCACTGGTACCTCGATATCATTACATAGCATTCTATTATCATCCATAAAAATATATACCTGAATCACTAGATTTAGTAATTCTAGATTTTTGTAGACATAGAGATGAAAATATTTTTCCTTACCAAAGAAAAACATATATATACATACATATACTTGTGTATATTTAGGTAGGTACACACAAAATTACCGTATGGTCCTGTCATAGAATGAACCACCCCTTCCTTTCCCGCGGGTGTCCTAAGAGGCGACTAAGAGAACCTAATGGCCGAGGGACGGTTAGCAGCGTCCCTCTTAAAACATTAGCAAAGCTTAACTGCGGTTGCCAACCCACCTGGCAAGCACAGCAACTACTGGCAAAACCTCCCTTATGGGGAGGCCGTGAACAGTTCATGGTTGACGTAATAATATAATAATAATATTAAAATTTAATTCCATATACTAAATAATAATCAATTATTTATACAAATTTATTTGTTTATTTACTTATTTATTTGAACAACTGGATGAGTTTTACAATCTCCCAATATGCTTGCACGGGAGAATATCAATATAATAACACATATTTTACTTTTAATATATGTTTACTATAAGGTAATGATTGAAATACAAATAAGTCAAGTAACTATTACAACTGTTCATTTTAAATCCTTACTATACATAAGTACTTTTAGTAGGTATCTTATTATAATTATTACTTACTTACTTGTAGTTATACTTACTTACGATAATAAATGAATTAATTAACTACAAAACAATAAAAGCTTAATGTACAGAACAACTGTAGGTTTAACGTGTAATTTATTACAGCTGTTAAGTTTGATGTCACATGATTGTCAAAACGAGAATGTTAATACAGAAATGACATACATGTAGCACAAGTTAGAAGCCGTATACGTTTCGTTGACATAGTAACTGTAGATATATATTATGTATTTGTAAATAGATAAGTCAAGTTCATCGGATAATGTATGAAATTGTTACTGGATTACTGAAATGCGGATTGACCCCCAGGGTTACGGTTTAATCAATTCTTAAATCATGTTATGCCACTGTTCACATCTACGACGCGTCTATGTATGTTTACTTATAATCACGTGGCGCCAAACTCACCGGTCCAAGGTTGTCAAAGCCGTGGCGCAACGCCACATCGTGGACCTCGTCGTGGCGCAGGGATCTCTTGAACCTGACGAGGAACGAGTTGGTGAATACCTCGCGGGAGGCTGTCGCGGTGATCAGCACAGTCGCAGCCAAGCATTGTAGCCACATGTTCGCGCTGTGGCCGACACTGGCTGACTGAGGCCCGACTCCCGCTGACGTCACTAGATATCGATCAGGGTGCTGCACATGCGCACACGCGACCATCATTCAGGTCCAAAGAACTAAGTCCAATTACGAAACGTTACATGTTCATTGTTGAAATTTACACTAGAAGACATCCTCGGAATGAGATAATCATATTTTAACATGCTTACAATAAATAGGTATATTTTTGTTTCTTTCATATGTACACATCTGTAATCCCAGATAAGATGTGCTTAAATAAAATGCTTAGATGTAGATATTCGTCAAAAGTAACAAATAAAAAATTGTACACTGGACTAAATGTTAAAAATATTTAAATCAATTTAGAATATATTAAATACTGTCTGAACATAATTGAACGGTTTCTTGAAAATCTGTTCTGAAATCTTGATGAAATCTAAATCTGAAATTCGACTTTGTAAAAAATATTTCATTTTAATAGAACTAATGAAAAGATATCCGTACCGTCTACCGTATCGAAAGGGTTAGAAAGGTTTTAAACTTTTAGCTGTTCAAATCTTTGAAGCAGGATACAGCTATTTGCTTCCTACTTCGGATGGCCTTAAAGCCGTCGTGAAGAGTAGTACGCAGGAATAGCAACGCGGGGGGGGGGGGGATCATGAGCGAAACAATATACTCTGTTATGTCCATAATACTGTTCATGCGCTTTCGGATTACCATAAAAACGGCATAATAATAATATAATCGGGAGTTGATCGCGAGCATATCTATTATTTACCTTGTATGGAAGTCACAATATTATAGGCATCAATCGGCGGTAGTTGCAATAAAAAAAAACTGTTCGTAGTAGAAGCAGTACTAGGAAAGAACTCGGCAATGCTACTTTATATATAGTGTTTGTACAGGTGGAACTGTGTAATGCGCCTGAGTAGATCTTAAGTAGTTACTTCTTAAATTAAGAACCAATACATTGATGCATTTTTATCTGAGAGGTAAAAGTAATCCTTATACCTTTGTCTTGTGAAATAGCAGCGTAAAACAGAAACTAACCGTCCTCACATACGGGGAATTTACAAAATCGTTTGCATGAATACCTCTGTCCCACGCGTGTTTCTGCCGTAAAGCCGCTGTGGTTGTATTCCTTTGTTACTAATTGAAAGATGGGTTATAACAGTGTAATTATGGAATATGGGCATATACATAGTTATGAATGAATAACCTTTTAGTCTTTAGGAATGATCACACCGTGAGGGGTACCGCGGGTTTTTTTTTTTTTTGTTAGATGAAAATGGATTGGTAACCCCGCCTGCGCTAACGGGATACGCTGACGGAACACCAGTGAAAGGTGCTAGATGAGAATGAAAACAGGCCAGTTAGCCTATCATGATGAATTCATCATGAAGAATTAACCATGACAGTTTCCAGGGGGAACCGCGTGGAGGTCGACCTGGTTAGGTATATTGCGAGCAATGGGATTTTTAGTCTCCATTACTAACAATTCCTTTCCCCCCGATGGTACCGCGAGTTTCACAGTGTAGCCAGAGATGTACTTGATCCTCGCGACGGTTCAAGTGATGGTAAGTGGTGACTGTCTATATATGAATATCATAAAGTCATCTTACAAATATTATACCCATACAAAAACCAAAGACAAAGGAGAATGGTGTGTTAGTAATAGATACCACTACTAGACATATATATGCCCTATCAGATCAATGTCCCAGTCTCATAAACCATAGCAGTTGAATCTTGATGAATTAGTTACGATGGGCTAACAGACCTGCTTTCATCCACTTATAATCCTCTCTATCTGACGTCCCGCCAGCGTATACTGATAGCGCAGGCGGAATAACCAATCCATTACCTTCCATTTAACCCTTTGACCGCGTATTTTTTTTTTTTTTATTTAAAACAATATAATACTTAGCTTTGACAACAAATAGCAGTACTAGTATTTAACCATCTAGCGAGATTCTGAGAAACAATATCAATCTACCAAAACAAAAATCGCGGAATAACAACGTCAATAAACGTAAAAAATGCGAACACGTCGTAATCGCGGAATGCGTAAAATTAAACTAGTAGATACTGCACGTGAAAATCGCAGAATGCCCAGTTAAAGAATTAAAGGAATATCAAAGACTTTCCCTGCAAGGGATATAACTCCTCGAGCATTGTGGATGGGGTCTTCGAAACCTTATTCTCTCCTTTACACTAAAACAACATTTATTCAAGTAGAAACCTAGATAGGTACTGACTCAAGCTAAATCTTTGTATCACTATTTGAAGAGTAGAAGATGTCATGTCACAATTATCATGATATATTAGTTTAAGGTCTATCGTGGCAACTTGCTGGATAAAGCATTCAAGCATACTATCTGCTTGATCATCACCAGTGACACAATACAAGCTTTTACAATACAATACAAAATAATAAAAAAACACTACCGGTTAATAATAAAAAATGGCGCCATACAGCCACCATATACCCCACACATCTAAATCTATTCAGGTATTTATAAGTTATATATTTTTACTTTTTTTTTATTATAAGCAAGGGTCTACCTGATGAAAAGCGGCTACCGTCACCCACGAACACCTGCAACACGAGCAAAGTTGCTCGTACATTGCCGACCTTTCAAATGTTTAGAAGCTTGTTTTTTTAAATATCCCATATTATAGTGGAATTAAGGAACTCATATACATAGATAAGCCTTGGGCAGTCGTGTAAAAATATATCGTAGCTAGGTAAACGTCACGTCACAAATTGAGCACAGTAAAGTAATAAAAATAATAATCCACTTTTCTTATCCAGTGGCAAAGTTACTAATCATGAGTTTTATTTCGTCCACTATATTAAATGGTTACGTAATGATAGAGCTGGCAATAAAAATCAACATTAAATTAACAGACATTTTCTATTCCATACAATTATGACAGGATATAATACGTCTCATATTTTTCTGTCCGTAAAAATAGTATCATCTATTCTTAAGTGTGGCAAAAGTGTTATGGAACCTAAAATACTTAGTGAATATATATATATATATATATATATATATATATATATATATATATATATATATATATATATATATATATATATATATAGCAAATTACCCACACTCAATATTTTTATATACAGAATGTCATAACAAATAGATTTGCGGAGCTTCTATTCTAAATCAGAGAATAATTTTAACAGCGGCTCACTGCTTATACGGCTGTTAAATTACATCAAGAAAACATCGCATAGATGTTACGGTTAGCTATGAAAATATTAAAAAGGTGAGTGAAGAATCTTGGTGACGTCATTCATCTACATTTAATAATGGAATTTGTCACTAATCGTTAGTCGAGTCGAAATATATGTAGGCAACAACGTCACCTTCACAGTCTGCTGCGCTTAATAAATATAGAAATTTTCCATTGACATAAAACAGCAAGGATATTTCGAGTTCGGTAGTCTATGGGGGAAGTTTGCATTCCACAATAAGAAAAATAATTGATATAGAATATAACCTTTCCTATCTAAATTAATACGTTTTTAATAAAATGCAATAAGTTCATTACTCCAATTGTTACTTGCTGTACCCTACAGGCTCCAGAATACTCACTATAATAATATTATATCAATTTACATCTATTATAACATTATGGAATACAAATAAACATATATGAAATAAACCTATCTGTATACTAAATATCATTAAAATTCATATTTTTTAATTAAAATTAGTAGTTTTTAAGTACAAGAATAACAAACATCCATCCATTCTTACAAACTACAGCGTTTATAATCGTATTAGAACTATTTCTTCTTAGATAAATGCATATAAATAAATTATTTGGGCTTCATAAAATACGCTTGCTATGCCAAGCAGATAAAACCGAGTGCCAAAATCCAAATGAATCTACCTACGAGTATGCATAGATGAGGGCATGGAACTTAATTCCAGATAAGACAAAGAGATAGCACATTTTTCCCGGGAATAAGTCAAATTGACCATATATTAATGACTTATTATTTAAATTTTAATAAATTCAAACTTCAATTAGGTATATCTAACGAGATAAACTTTTAGATAAATATTGTTTAAAAAAAAGTGTCCAAATGTATAAATCACAAAAAATACGATGAATTACTAGTAGCAAATGGCATAGCTGTAGCTTACTTGAACAAAAATGTACCGTTAGGAAGCATGTACAATGTGTATTAATTACTGGACAAATCTCTCCAGAAATAAAAGCTTATGTAGCCGGTTGGGGTATCATACCCCATTCACCGCAAAAAAGACACCGTTTGTCGTATCACCTCACTTTCAGGGCACTTCCCTTGATAATAAGTCGAGTCTGGGGATTCTTGGCGTCGATATATCTAGCGACGTCCAGTTTTGCGGTCATCTGGAGGAAAAAGCTAAGATAGCTTCCAAAAAGTTGGGGGTGCTCAATAGGGTGAGACGGTATTTCACGCCAGAAAACCGCCTGAAACTGTATAAAGCTCAAGTGAGGCCACACATGGAATACTGTTCTCACCTGTGGGCAGGAGCGCCACAGTACCAACTCCTTCCGTTAGACCGCATTCAAAGTCGGGCAGCTCGAATTGTTGACGATCGGCGTCTTACTGTCCGGCTCGACCCACTGAAACTGCGTAGAGATGTTGCATCTCTGTGCATCTTCTACCGAATTTATCATGGGGAGTGCTCTGAAGAATTGTTCGGATTGATACCTGCTGCAGATTTTCACCATCGTACAACCCGCCATAAACTAAAATTTCATCCCAACCATCTGGACGAGTGGCGGTCCTCCACCGTGCGTTTTTCAAGGCACTTTCTTCTACGCACAACCACTCTTTGGAATCAACTTCCAGCAGCAGTATTTCCGAACCGATACGACAACATAACCTTCAAGAAAAGAGCATATTCCTTTTTAAAAGGCCGGCAGCACACCTGCAATGCCGTAGGTGTTGTGGGTGACCATGGGCGGCGGTAGTCACTTACCATCAGGTGAGCCGCATGCTCGTTTGCCCCCTGTGTTGTAAAAAAAAAAAAAATCATACGTGTAAATATATTTACATACAAATAACTGTAACGACAATTGTATATCATCATCATCTCAACCATTATCCATCCAATGCTGGACATAGGCCTCCCCCATAGTTGGGAAGTTTTGCCAAAAAGTTCTTTTGTAAGGTAGGAACCTTAAACATCTAGCTATGGCCCTGAGTATATATGTTAAGTAACCTACATGTCAAATTCATTAAATCCATTTAGCCGTTTAAGCTTGATTGTGTGACAAACATACTCTCATCCAAACATGATTAAAAAACTTTCACATTTAGTAATATTAGCGACCCATCCCGGCTTCGCGCGGGTTCAATATTTGTTTGTGTAACTTTTAAACTGTTCAACACATTTTAGTAAGGCTGGTTATTTTGACGTGTGTAAAAGTACTGCACTAATATTCTATAAGTATTTAAAATTGACGGCTTGTAGAATTTATTTTACTTTTAATATAAAGATCATCTTTTTGGCTCACTTAGATATATGGTGTCACGGACTTTCTACTTTTTACTACAGCATAACAATTGTTTATAGTTTTCATAAATAACTGTAAAACTTTTCATCAGAATAGCCAATCAGAAAGCAGACGGGAAAAGGGATTTTTTAATTAATGATAATGAAATAGTAACCACGCCTGCGCTAACGGTATAACGCAAGCGGGGCACCAGTGAAGGATGATAGGTGAGGATGAAGGCGGGTTAGTTGGGCCCTCGTGAAGAATTTAACAAAAGTTTACTACAGTAGTTCCAGGGGGAACCGCATGGAGGTCGATCTGATAGGATATATTGTTAGCAGTTGGCTGTTAGAACCCATCACTAATCATATACCGTTAGCGCAAGCGAGTTTACTATTTCATTATTATCCATTATAAAAAAAAACATCCACACAGTTCCACCTAGAAACCATCGTGATTAATTATTGATGGATTTATTACGATGAGCCGACCGAGCCACTTTCATCCTCAATTATCATTAGTCACTGATACTCCACCAGTGAATACCGATGCCGCAGACGGGCCACTATTCCATTTTACCACCCCACTATGAACAGGTATGACAGACACAATAATATACCTAATTATACTCAGTATACGATAACCCCTTGCTATCCAAATTGAGATTCAAAGCCACGTGTTCGTACATCAGTGAATTAACAGTGGGTATGTTCTGCGCAGGAAGTCATGCCTTGTTGTAAGATATTTTATCTATCTTTAATATAAACAGATGGCAGATAAATCCGTGGATAAAATCGTTCAATCAGCACTCATATGAAAAAGTACATCAGACGTTTCCATCTCATCATATTTCATGAACAAACTGGTCTCCTGAATAAGCGGGAACCAAGTATATCGATAGATAGCTAATGCTTGCAGCAGAACGCGAATTTCTAGAAAATCTCTCCTAGGAGGGTTTAGGTGGGGGCCTCGGAGCAGTCCCCTTTACCCCGGCTTCAACTCTGAGGGTCCTCTGAGTCACTGGGTTAAAGCTTAAACATGGGTAGGTTTAGGTGAGGCGTGATCTTCTACCAATTATCTATTGCTTATACTATGAGCTCTGTTTAATTTGGCGCTGAACATGTTCCCCGCTGTTCATGCTTTTACATCAGCTTATTTGCACATGATTAATTTTATTTTTTATTTTGTAAACAGGAGAGACTCTCGCAGTACATTAATTGCAAATAGATGTCAACAAATCGGAGTGGTATCATTTAGAATCTTAAAATGGTCAGTGCTTATGGTTTATGCAAAAATGTCACTCATGGATCAAAAAGAATGTCAAAATTTTATATTGCAATAAACATATAAAATTAGTTGTTATGAGCTTCCATTTATTGATGAAGTTTGTTCCGAGTTAAAACCAAAAATATTGCTGCTACAATACATATTATAATTTTGTATTCTATTTTCATAATATAGAATATCACTGATTTTGTAATAAAACAACAAATAAAATTTCTATTTACCTACTTAATTGTAAGACATTTGTACTATACCATTTTTGAAAAACCAATATTTTACAGTCATTGATTAATTGCATTCTTATAAATAAAAACTAAGATAACAAAACCACTACTATAGTTAGCAAATAAACTAACTAGCTAAGATATAAGCTATATGAAGCATTACTGCATGTTTACCTCATATTAGAAAGGGTAAGTGTCATATATAAAGAATTATAATACCTTTGGAAGCAAAAGACCAGGACACAATTTTCCTGGATTATTTAAATTATTACTTCAAGATTGATGAATGTGGAGGAAGCGAAAGAGGTTTGTTTGAATCGAAGCATTTGGCGTTCCATTGTTTCTGCCTACCCTAATGGGAGACAGGCGTGACAGATATGTATGTATGTATGTACTTCAATTAATAAACTGTTCAAACACCAATTATTCAAACAAAATCTATATATTGTTTCATCCCCTTTAAAACCAAGAAAACAAGTTAACAATATAATTTTTATTAAACATAACATTACAGGTTAATTTTAAATTCTTGCTTCTTATTGAATTAATTAGTGCTACCACTGGAAGATGTTGCAGTACATTCCTTCTCCATATCATGGGATGGTGGGTGCTCTAAAACATTATCAATCAAACCAAATGCTTTAGCTTCTGCTGGAGACATAAAGCAATCCCGTTCCATAGAATTCTGAACCTTCTCAACAGGTAATCCTGTATGTCTGACATACAGTGCATTAATTTGTGCTTTTAGCTTTAAAATCTCTTCTGCTTGAATTTGTATATCTGTAGCCTGTCCTCTCACTCCGCCGGATGGTTGATGGATCATGATTCGAGAGTTAGGGAGTGCATGCCTCATCCCGGGTGCTCCTGCAGCTAATAATAATGATGCCATGCTACATGCTTGACCAACACACCATGTTGCAACTGGAGGCGTTATATATTGCATTGTGTCATAAATACCTAGCCCTGCAGTTACGGCACCCCCAGGAGAATTTATATATAAGTGAACAGGCTTTTTACTGGACTCCGACTGTAGGAATAGTAATTGAGCTACTACTAATGAACTTATATCATCATTAATGGGTCCCATGAGGCAAATTATCCGTTCCCGCAGAAGTCTAGAGTATATATCGTATGCTCTTTCACCTCGCCCAGTTTGTTCAACAACAATAGGAATCATACCAATTCGGGCTGGCTCACTGGTACTAAATCCTTTTGTTACATGTGCTTTAGTTACTTTTATTGCAGACACTGCCCTTGCGAGCTGCCGAAAGTAGTTCAAAGCCATTTCTATGATTGAATTTTTTAGCCGGATTTATAGGTTATTCGTACTTTTTATTTATTAAAATCAAAGTAGTCTTGAAAATATTTTATTTTACAACTTATAATCTTTATATACATCTACTTTTTAAAGTATTAATATTCTTATATTTTTAATAATATATTATTTGAAAATAAAAATATGTTGACAAATCGACTGACAAATTTAATTTGACAGTGACAGTTTAGGAAAAGATTGCCAAGTACTATTTTTTTAATTTTACCCATATATCACAATTTTTTTTTCTCCAATAGTTACAATTTCTTTTCTTTTTATTTTTACTCCATCAGAAATTCGTGTTGTTTTTCAATACATTTTACCATGTAAGTACAAAGTGAACGACGAAAAAGATGTACCTATACCATCTGTTCTGCCTCATTGTTATATTTTATTGTATTTATATATTGCTGTATGGTTTACAAATACAAAGACCGTAAAAAAGTTGTTCAAACTTCTCCAAGTTGACATCGCTTAGAGAATTTCACTACTCTAGTAAGAAAAAAGAAGCAATTTTATTTACCCAAAATTACAACAGTAATATCTCAGCTGGCAACACTGATTTAGGGCTGTCAAATACCAAATCATAATAATAATTATCCCTAACCACATGTCTACTAATCTGCATCACATCTCTAGTAGGTTCCTGCGGATAATCAAAGCTTAAAGAATTAAAATTACATTTCTATATTATACGTATTCTTTAGTATCAAAATTGATACTCAGTATTTCATTGCAGTATTTCTTATCTCTAAAACCTAATAATTACTACTACCACTAGAAAATTATGATATTAGATCAGAGATTAGATATTCTCTGATCTATCATCACCTCTCTAAATTTATTTTATAGACTAATATCTACAGTATCAGTATTAAAATAGCAATTTTTTAACAGATGGCATAGGAATAATTACACCGCCGGCACTTCCGATATACAGTAGCGGGTACCAGTGAAGGATGATATTTCATAATTGCTAGCAACGGGACTGATAATCTGCATTACTAACAATCAATTCCCACCCCCAATAGCAACAGCAATAGATAACTTAATCCCGTAGTACATTATACTAAGTCTATGTTTAGCCCTGTAGATTACATTACATATATTGTAACTTACAAGGGGGAGACAAAGTTACACAAGATTTTTTTTTAATAACATGTAAATATTTATATACACAATAGATACCCTCTTTTAATAAAGAAACAGGAAACAATAAAACTTAAACTTAGATTTTCAAAAATATATAATATTTCATAATTAGGAAAGCAAATTACTGGATTTAAATATATAATTGTTTCAGTCATGTACCTATGGTTTAAATTCATTCTTTAAAAAGAAATATTCAGCACTAAAATGACACATGCATGTTCTGTTGACTCACAGACGGTACAAAAAGATGCCAGAAATGCTTTAAGTATAAAAATTAAATAATGTGACATGACTATTAAAGTACTTGTCCTGACATTACAAATATTATTTATTGATAGCAAAACCCCTCTCATGCTAAACTCTTCTGATAAAGACCATCTAAAATGTAATCTTTTAAACTATATTCGACATAAACTTCATATAGGTAGTCTGAATCAAAATTTAACCAATTGCACTTAATTTTGTACCAAAGATTGACATGCAGAGTGACAAAATATGTGCAATCGCAGCATCTATTTAAACTGTATCTATGACTTGATTAATGACAAAATATTGGCAAAATGGCAAAATTTATTATATATTACATCATTTATTCACTGGCCGACGTCGTCTTAATTTCATTAAAGCTTCTTGCCTTTTCTTTTCAATGACTAATTTTAAGTCTAGTGAATTATTTGTTTTTTGTTCATACAAATTTACATTTGTTGATAATGCATTTGATTTAGAGCTGGGAATCTTAAGTTGGAATTGATTTCTTTTGACTACTGCTTGTTGTGTACTCTGTGTACTTTCAAGTGGACTGCTCCTTTGTGTTGCTGTGAATGGTAATAACCTTTTTGCAATTAGTTTTTCTCTAGCTTGTAGCCTTTTTCTCTCAATCTCATCTGGACTGCATTTTATTGGAGAGTCTCCAGAAACTGAAATTAACAATTAATTAATAAACAAAAATGCATAATAAGGATTCTGAAATTTTATTTTCCTATTATTAATAGCATAAGGTGTTTTTCTTTCATTTGAACCCCACTCCAACTCCTTTGTGAGATTTAGTAAGATTCTCTCTTCTCCAGCCCTCTCTTATCTGTAATATTTTATATAAATACCATAATAATTTTGCTTATGTCAGTCAAATAAGAAAATAATATAAAATTGAAGTAAAATTCTCAGTTATTGATGATATATTATTTTCTTTTGTGCTCACATAGCTATTATGATCCCTAATAAAAATATTTGTTTAGATAAAATAAAGTATTTACCTGAACATTTGGCAGCATCATTTCCATAAGGCATTGAATTGTACCTGCCAAAAGCCATTCCACTTGTTGATGGTTTATTTACATTAGCACAAGATGGTGATTCTGGCATGGAACTATGACGACCAAATACTTTAGTTGAAGGACTACCATCATAATGTGTTAACTCCTTTACTTTCCAATTATCCTCATTAGGAACATTAAAATTAACTTTTCGGTTTGTTACAACTGGCATTTGAGTCAATTTCTCCAATGCACTATCATTTAAATCACTCACTAAAGTATCAAATGAATCATTGTTAAGATGAGGTGAATTACATTTTTTGGTCTTGCTCACAGCTGGTGACTCTAACTTAATACTATTTAATATGGCATCCATTGAATCTTCATTTATTTTAAAACTAAAATCAGGTTTAAAATTTCTAATGTTGTTTTTATTTTTCTCATAACAAACTTTTTTAGCTGCAGTCGGTTCATGTTTCATTATATTCTCTTCAACCACTTGACTGGCTTTTAAAAGACACTCATTCATTGAATCATCTGATTCCAAGGCTGTTTCTGGTTCGTGTTTACTGAATTTTGAACTTAACACATTCCGTCGGAGGCATCTTGAATTTGTTTTCAAACCACTCTTTGGAGAATCTCTTGGTGATTGCAATGTGTCATTAAAAAAAATATCTTCATTTTCTGATCTTCTGCTTTCTGGTGTACGACTATTCACTGGCTTTTTCCCTATCAGTTCATGTAGATTTTGGTTCAATTCAATTAAATCTTGAAACAGTTCAGTTCTTTTCTGTGATGGTTTAACTACTTTACGTCTAGGTAATTGTCGCTCTATTTGTTTATTTTTGGATGACTTTTTTGTTTTTCTACTTAGAGGAGTGGAATTTCTTAAATGCGAGGCGAATGTGTTTTCCGACTTTGGAGTATAAAAATTCCAAACGACATCTGTTTCACCCTCTGCACCATCTTGTGTACACAAAAATGGGACGGGACTTCCAGCCTCAGAGTCACATATTGAATCACTGTCTCTAGATGGAGACTCTGCATGTTCAGGCGTTGAGCGTCTCAATACTGGAAAATAGATTTCAGAAAAAGAACATTACACAAATTTGGATTACACGACAATGTGTTTTGTTTTGCATTATAGTAAACATACCTTTACTTTTATTTTTTGTTGCTACCATTTTAACACAAGAAACTTTTTTACTCATAAGTCTGTATAAAATAGAAACTTATTTAGTAAAGACTACATAAACAATTTTTTATTAAAACACTAAAAAAACAGATATTTTGGAAAAAAATAGCAAAAAAATTATAAAAATTTGACAATGACACTGATTTTTTTAATGGTTTTTAAGATATTGGGTTCTATCTCTTTAGTAGAGTGATTTTTTTTTCCTTGTATAATGTTAACTTTTTAAGCACTTAAATCGCGTTATTAATTTAGCAACTTATTTAACAATTTAATTCTGTATTTATCTGAAACCTAATTATGTAAATGCATAAAAATTGTTAAGAAGAGATCTTTGTCTAACAATAATAGTGCTCTTCTTTATCTGTGCCATACCTAACGTAACGTACGTAACGTAACAACTTGTTTTGTTAATGTTCTGTTAAAACAAAAATTACTTTTACCACAAATATACCTATGTACTAATATTTCTTATAGAAAACTACCCGACCGACCTGCCTCAGCTTCGCACGGGTGCAATGCCGATATTAAATATACCTACAACTTATATACACTACAGAATATCCTTATAAACAACGTTTATAAGGATATTCTGTACAACAGCTTTTTGTCATTAGACAATACAAACATGATAAAGGCTATAGAGCGAAGCCTTCGACGCGCTATTTATAGGCATACGCCGCCGGCCGGGCCGATGCCGCCGCACCGCTATATCCCTGCTTTTTTAATCTATAATATCTTCAGAAATATTCATTTACATTACATGCTGTAAATGATCATATTTGTCTATATTAAATGGACAATGTATTTAAGGTATAGGTAAATAGATAACAATTAATACTGTATTGCTTAAAATCACTTCTTAAATAACCCATTTTTCCCCGTAAAATATAATGGATAAAAATGGTTATTGTGGGTTATCCTTAAGAGATAGATATATACCATCGCGGACATCGCGGAGCACTTTTTAATTACCTATTTAACCATTTTTACGGTTAAATATTAACAATATTATCATATATTCTGGTATGTAACTTTTAAACAATTTTTGGTGATAATTTTGAAAGAATGTCCTTTTTCTGATGACTTCCCATTAAAAGCTAAATTATAATATTTTAATGTTTGTTGAAAATTCGAATACATATTTTTATTAATCGTACTTCACTATACATTAATTCGATAATAAAAACATATTGTGTCAAGCGTGCATTATGTAGGTTTTGTATCCAAGAAATATTATCAATAAATACAAAATTATTCCAACAAATATTAGGTACTAAATAGATAAAAAAATAGATAACCCTAAAAAGGATACGTTTGTAACATTGATTAATTAATACGTGGGACACTCAGAAAGTTTTGCGACACTAAAAAATGTTAGGTAATAATAGGTAAATATATTTTTATTACCTACATGTTTTCAAAGTACTCTCCACCAGCCTCTATACAAAGTTTCATGTGTCTGAACCAGTTTTCGAAACACTTTTTCCAGTCCGTCGCAGACACCTCGTTTACAGCCTGCTCGAACGCTGAGAACACATCATCCGGCGACGAAAATTGTATTCCTTTGAGCTGATTTTTTATTTTTGGGAATAAGAAGAAGTCACACGGTGCTAGTTGTTTCTGGATCGTATTGATAAATCCAGGATTCATCATCTGTAACGATATCGTAAACACGCCGCGACGAGCCTGCTTCAAATTTGTTTATCATATCATGGCACCATTCCACCCTTGCCTGCTTCTGAACATCGGTGAGACTGTGCGGCACCCAGCATGAAACTATCCTCCGCACCCGTAGATGCACATATAGAATCTCATGAAGGTTTCCTAATCCAATCTGCAGTATATGCTGAATCTCTTGGTATGCAACTCGTCTATTGTCTTGGATCAAATTATGCACTGCTAGCACGTTTTCTTCCGTAACAGCCGTTAAAGGGTGACCACTTCTTTCTTCATCCCCAAAATTAGTCGACCGCGCTTAAATTCATTATACCAACGATACACGGATCCATGAATTCCATTTGAAGTCTATCGATTCGTACGGTTTCAGGCAACACTTAAAATCGTAAAAGATCATAGCGCGAAAATGTTCTCGATGCAAATCCATTTTTCAATGAGACACGGTAATTTTAATTAGCTTGCAAAAAACGTGGAGGGAAGTTTTGAATTTAGAACGTACCTATTTTTACTTATTCTAATTATTATAATCATATTTTTAAATAAAATATAACTGGCCAGTCTCACATACATAAAAACTTTTTCTCGCAATACTTTCTAAGTGACCTGGAATATCTCAAGAATCATAGACAGACGTATCTATGTCTCATTCTACTAATTAGTACTTCTCTACTGAGAGGTACTAATTAGCAGAATGAGACATATCTCTCTTTAACACTTTCAGTAGATATTGGTCTTGTTCTAAAAGTCTATAGCGGCTTGAGCCTACTTTGCATTTATTGTCATTTGTAAAACAAAAACAGAGCTGCTCCGTCTTCTTTGTCTTAGAACTAGTAATAGAACTATACTTAATTCCAGTTGTAATTTTATTATATAGATATATAATTATATAATTCGAAATGAGAGAAAAGCCAAAGAACCTCAAAATATAAAAAAAAGCACCAAACGCAGATAAAAAATGTAATAGTAGCAATTTATTTGAGGCTAGCACTATTCTTTATCTAAGTATGAAACGAAGTTAGTTACAAACGGTCACAGTATTAGTCATAAAAAAATCTACGGTCATAGATACTGTCTAACAACAGTGGGGTGTCAGCTTGTCTTAGTTTTAAACAGTCTGTCTCAGTCGTTTGGTTTGAGTCTTTCGTTAATATTGTCTGTCTATATGATTGCGTAATCGTTCGCAATGCTCTTTCGGAAGTGAAAATCTATAGTGTAAAGTGGAAAAGACATCGTGAAAAATGTTGGCGGACGGTGAAATTGTTGGTGATGGTTCATGGAACCTCACCATTTACGTGACGGACTTAAACGAAAAACGTACAATGGTCGTGAAGGGCGACATGCACATCGGCGGGGTTATGTTGAAGCTGACAGAGAGCTTCGGTGAGTTTTTTTTAATTGTTTATTTACTACAAACTTTGTTTACTTATTTATAATAAATTATGACATTGATAAATTCTAAAAGTTGTAAAATCTGTTTTACTTTTTGTTTTAAGATTTGAATTATGGTACTATTTACAACAAATTTAAATATGTACAGAAAGAGATACATGAATAAAAGCCACTTGATCTGTCTACCTCGTAAGGAGCCTGGCATGTATATGTATATATTAAACTGGTCAATGACAAATTTAATAATATTTGAAACACTTATAATGTATTATATTTATTTTATATACGCCTAATAATATACTTAAAATATATAAACTTATACTAACTACGACAACGAAAAAAATATACATTATAATCCTGTTAATTCTAAAATAGATTATTCCGGATTAAAATATGATCATATATAAAAATATTAAAATGATGTTTCTACTAGCAAAAATTTGAGAAAATAACTAGATATAATTTTTTTTTATTTTATACTTAAGAACAAATCTTGTATCATCCTGAAATGATTTTCTCTCTATCAACAAATTTACAGAGATATAATTTAATAATTTTAGTTTTAGCCTTTATTACCTAGATAACTTTATTTGCATGTATGGGACTGACCATACTGACTGAATATATATACTGCCTGAGATAAAAAATAGCCTATATCCTTATCCGTCTCACATAATATGTATTTACCAAATTTTATAGGTTGGTTACCCTGATATGACACTACAAAGTAACAAACACTGTCACATTTATAATATTAGTATAGATCTAAGGAGGTAGAAATAAACAATTAGTACTTACTGTGGCCTACTGTGGGAGTAACAATGCCAATTGCTTGCAACATTTATCAAATTGGCATACTATTTATTATAGAAACCTAATAATAATATTCCTGGAATATATAAATAAAATATGATTTTTGTTGAATTCATTATCATTATAATGAATTAAAAAAATTTAACTGACCCTTTGGAGGAAGACAGGTTTGTTAGTGATGCAGACTACCAATCACATTACTAGCAATATACCCTATATATAGGTCAACAACCACCCTGGAAACTATCATGTTGAATTCTAAGTGTATTCATCACAATAGGCTAACTGACCAGCCTTTTCATTCTCACCTATCATCTCACTGGTGTTCTGCGAGCATATACCATTAGCTCAGGCAGGCTATGACTCCATTGTCATCCATTAAAAAAAACACCCTTTCTACTGACTCATCCTTACCTATCATTTCTTTGGCACCCTACCAGCATAAAGTAATAGAACAAGCAGGTCTATCTGTTTTCATTTATAAAATATATATACTTGTTTAGTAGTAAACCAAACAAAGTTTTTAATTAAGTTTCAAAAATTTTCAGAATATTATAATAATGTAGTAAATTAAAATTGTTTAAGAAATTTAATTTGAAATTAGAATTATTCATCTTATGTATTGTATATATTATTTAGTTCAATCACAACGACAACACATGGGAGGTATCATGGGCGAAACAGTATACTCTGTTATGTCCATGGTACTGCTCATGTCTATAGATGATAATTACCACTTTCTATCAGGTGGGCCGCCAGCTTGTTTGCCATTCTAAGTTGTATAAAAAAAACTATTGCAGTCATTTGCAGGGCTCGTGTTTGCAATATCACCATCACTCATTTAATCACACTTTGATATCTCAAGCTTATAATATTATTTAATAATGTTTAATTTTAAATATAAGTATTGTAATCAGAACCGATTTGTATAGAATTTAAAAAGAGAAACTTTTAGAGTATTTAGTACTTTTTATGGACAAGCAACTGAATATGGTTTATACTTGTATGACCATGTATTGATATAGTAAGTATAGTAAACAAAATATATCTAGGATTTTAAATATTCATACTTATCATAATAGTAAGATTTGTGAGAGACCTATTTAGATAAATAGGTATATGCCAATTTTTAAGCACCTAACCAGCAGTTTTAATTAATATTTCTCAACATTCTTAAAGATATAAAAAGTCTTTAAGTGTGTAACTGAGACATAAAAATTGTATTCACATCAAGTATCAGTTTTTTTGCACATTAACCATTGTGCAGAAAAACGAAAAGTAGTTACTTACCAAGTAGGTAAAACCAGTAGCATATTTAAATAATGTTTTCTCATAAAGGTTCCTTGATTATTGCAAACAAAACTACCGATGTTTGTGTAAAAAAAAATCAGTTACAGTACAGTTGGCAGTTGTTTAAAACCTGTTTGCATTCCAATGTATGGTGCATCTTGCTTGCAACATTACTTACCATTTTATCAGTATTCATATTCATCATTCCACAGACGCCAATCAAACGCTGCCTTTGCTTGATAGCAATAAAATAATACTTGATGTAAAGAGCAAGTGAAAGAGACATTATAGTTAGGAAGGAGTGAGATGGAGATTGCGCGTACGCAGCACCAAGGCACGCGTCCTTCGCAAACGATGCGAGGGACAGGTTTTTGCTCCTTCGCTCGCAAGTGTTATGTGTTTTTTAATCTGTATTTTGGCTTTCGACAATGTCTACCTACATTAATAAATCTACTGTCCATTTTCTTGCAAATCGTGTGTATCTATGTTTAGCTATGGACAGTTAACGGATAATATGATGATAATGTATAATATAGTATTAAAATTTTATTCAGAATTTTTGTTGATGATATCACATACTCTCACATTACTACATACACACATGGACACAAAGCCATAGAGTAGAATTATGAATCTACTCTTCTTGAAGTCGGTTAACATAATTTCTATAGCCACGTAGTAAACATGTTTTTTATACAAAACTTATGATTTATTCATCAAATATTTGTAGTTTCCTTAAGTAGTCTTACGATGATAAATGTAATGCAATAGACGCCTTTTGCATCGTAAACAATCCGTAAATTCTCGCCTACACTAATATCAACACGATAAATAACATTCAAAATGGCGTCCAATATTCGCCCACTTTACTCCAAACTTGCATTGCTGATTCCAACAATATAACATTCTTATTTGATCACACTATGATTTTCACCTTAAATAACAAGTAAAATCTTATTATTATTAAATGTTATAGTATATTGACTAAATCAACACTCAACATAGCGTTAGAGACTCAACCATGGAGATCATAAGATATCAGGTCTTTTCCCACTTTTATTTGATAAAGAATTGGCTTATTTGTAATTTTTGTTTATAATGTAAATCGCGGAATTTACACGCTTCTCTCTTGCCACACTTACAAAGCCACAGATTACTTAATAGTTCTTCCGATATTTGTATAAACGCTTATTCATTGATACAGACTTTCCATGGAATTACAGATGATTCCGTGTTTCACGAAAACGATGTAAGTGGACGAAAACTAAAATAACGACAGGTTTCGGAGACAATGTATGATTTCCAAATGCGCCTTAAACTTAACAGGAAAGTAGATATACTAATCTGTTATAAGAACTACCTGCCATTTATTATTGTATTGACCTACATGTTAGTCTCTGAAGGCAATAGATGAAAGATCAGATACCTGCAGCTAAGAATAATAAAATGGATGTGTGGGGTGACAAGAAATGAAAAATAGTATGTATTTACTACAAGAAAGTCTAAAAATCGCGCCAGCAATGAAATTAAAAGTAATAGCTTTTTTTTATACAACTTAGAATGACAAACAAGCTGACGGTCCACCTGGTGGAAAGTGGTAACCGTCGCCTATAAATATGAGCAGTACCATGGACATAAAAGAGTATACTGTTTCGCCCATGATACCTCCCATGCGTTGCCATTCCTGAAGACTCAGGTGTTATTCCTCCGTACCCAGTAAATTCACGTCATATCCCACCCTTCAAACCGAAACACAGCCATGCATACACAACTGCTTCACGGTTGAAACACGAATGGGACCGAGGTACCCAAGCAATCGACTTTTGTACAAAGTCTCCCTCTGGTATTGTATTGTTATTGTAACCTGTGGACACCAGCAACACTAACGGAATCACGTGCACATTGTCGCCCCTGAAGAAACCTTAATATACCTTTTTTAAAAATCCCATACTCTAGTCTCTAAGGAGAACATCGGCAGAGAGCTCCTTCCAAAGCGTACGCGGAGAATATTCTTTTGAAACTATAAGTGACCATTTAGGTTTTTAATGGGTAATAACACTAGCGGGGCACCACTGAAGGATGGTAGGTGAGGATGAAGCATATCAGTTAGCCCATCGTGACAAATTCAACAAGAATTGTTCAAGCTGGTTTCCGGGGGAACCACGTGGAGGTCGTACCTAATAGGGCATATTGCTAGCAAACTGTCAAACTCCATTGCTAACAATCCCTTTCCTCCACTATTTAGGTTTTTTTTGATGGGTGAAAATGGTATGGTAACCTCGCCTACGCTAACGGGATACGCTGGCAGAGCACCAGTGAAGGGTGATAGATGAGAATGAAAACAGGCCAGTTAGCCCATCATGATGAATTCATCAGGAATTAACCATGATAGTTTCTAGGGGGAACCGCGAGGAGGTCGACGTGGTTGGATATATTGCATGCAATTGGATTCTCAGTCTCCATTACTAACAATCCCTTTCCCCCCACTATTTAGGTTCAACCGTGTGAGGATGAATTTCCTCTCGATAACGAGCAGTGCGTTAATAAAAGATGGCTGTTCCATTATCCCATTATTTGGGATAATGCAAAGCAATAATGAATTCAGAGACTTTTAAAAAGAATCCTTTCTTTTCCTAAAGAAAGTATTTTTAAACCTACAAGTTTAAAATTTTTAAGAAGTCCATATTGTAATCTATCGGAGAAAATATTGGTTGAAAATCAATATTTTCTCAGCGTCACTAGAAACTCGCACTTTTGTACTTGTTTAAATTCTAAGGATGTTGACTTGTCTACTTTCCTAATTACATTAGGTGGTGCCCAAGACAAAGTAGTGACCTAGAGCAATACTGGCGATTAGTATATTATATAATGTAAAACAGAAAATAACT